AAATACAATGTATGAGAATGATTGTATGAAACACAATGTGAATGAAGGAATGTGCAGGGCACAATGTATACAAATTTTGTATGCAAATCAATGTAAAATAAAAATAAATTTAAAAATAGAAAATTGATATAGTGATCATAACAATGGGCTCAAGTATATCAGAGATGATGAGGATGCATGGGATATGGCACGCTTCAGCTCTATTGGTCATAAGGTCACTATGGGCCACTTAGAAGCAACAACATTATACTTCCTATTTGTTCGGTGGTGAGGATTTTTGTTTTCTTGATGTCAAGATTAAAAATATATGTTCTAGAAAAAACATACTGAAAATCACACACACTACTACTAAGTCAATCTGTTACATATATAATGAAATATTTTTCCTTTTTAAATGAAGCTTGCAGTACAATGAAAGTCGTTAGTGAGAGAAATAGTGTCAATTCCATGCTAATGAGCAAACTAGTTTTTGAGCTTAACTAAAGTAAACTTTGAACTTGACATAAGAAAGACATGGAGCATGGCTCCATAATGGCCACAATGGTTTTCTTGTGGGCACTTTTTAGTCAGGAAGGGAAAGAAAGATTTAGTTGCAAAAAGTCGGAAAGTAAGCTGCCTGAATTTTAACATTTTACATACCTAGATTAGGGCTTCCTTTGTGAAAAATGTTGCAATGGACACAAGTTGAGTGTGCATGTAATTTATGTTGTAGCTCTTACTTCTCTAGGGTATATTTCCAGCAGTTAGATTGCTGGGTGGGCAGACATTATGGATATTGTAGTTAAAGTTATAACACAAAATATGCACAAACGATTGAATGATAATAGTCTTTGTAAACATCCAATCAAATCACACGCACACACATACACTTGTACACAAGGAAATTTGGGCTTTTACAATATTGGAATTAGAGGATGTATATTGTTGTTAGGTGTCATTGAGCTGGAGTTGGCTACCATTCACAGCAAACCTGTAAACAACAGGTATGAACCTTGCCCAGTCCTGCAGCATCATAGATAAATACAGGATATATGTTGTTGTTATGTACCATCAAGTCAGAACAGACTCATAGGTCACCCTCCAGTGGGTTTCAGAAATAAATCTCACAGGAGGAGATTGCCCATCTTTTGCCTGTGGAGCAGTTGGTAGATTTGAACCTCTTGAATTTAGGTTGGCAGTGCAACTCTTTATCATTAAGCCACCAGAGCTGATACAAGATAAGTATCTCCTTCATTTTAATGTGAAGGCATTGAACATATTAATTTCTAAATATATTTTAATACTGAAAATGATTTGATTTGAGAGAAAATATAGTGTCTACTTGATACAGAAAAGCAGCTGAGCTAATATCTGTATGGAGAGAAATTTTAACCCCAAGCCATTAAGTCCCAGTATGTTCATTTTCTCCTCAAGTGTGACTCAAGGGGAATGTAGTCTGAGGTGGAAATTTCTGAGATGAGGAAAACTAACTTTGTAATTAAATTTATCATGATTAAGTCAAAGAAGAGAAAAATATTTCTAGAGGTAGACTTTATGAATTTTGTTCTTAGCATATATTCTATAAATGTTAAATCCCTATAATATTTCCTATAGTTTTTATAAGTATGCCTATAATTTTTAACAAAGAGTAATTCATTTATTTGGCTATAGTAAAACATTCTGAAAGATATTAATTTCATTAGGTTCATTTATAATTTTGGATAATTTATAATAGTCTATGTGTTTCCTACTGCCAAAGGGGCCCTTTAGAGTAGTGAGAGAAGATCTTCACCCTGAAACCCACAGCATCCCTTTTCAGCAGGAAGTAGCTAAGAGAATACGCCGTGCCCTTTTCCTTATGACTCAGGGTGAAGTCTCTCTCAGGGAGGAGTGATAGGGAATGGCAAAGGATACACTGACAAAGAAGATTAATCAGAACTGGCTTTGACAAGCACTGTGGCATTTGGACAAGAACAAACTGGGAGGAGGGTAGAGAGAATAGTGCAACAATGAATGAGTGGAAGCCCAAAATCTCTGTAAATGTTTATGAAAATTAATAAAATATAATTATAGAAAAAAAATTTTAAAAATTGAATAATGTTTTGCTTTCTTTTTTTCAGAACTGCTTTAATGGCTTATATAAATATTGGCCTTATATACCTGCTGCACTTGGATAACTATGTTGAAGCCATCAGTCAGTTTTCTGAGGCCATTAGAATTGACCCTTTATATATTCAAAGCTATCTCTGTCGAGCAGAAGCATATTATAAGGTATTAAAAGTCTGAGAATCTTGTCTTTTGTTGTTGTTGTTTTATTGTTATGTGCTTTTGAGTCACTTGCGACTCATAGCAACAATAGCCTTGAAACGTGTTCTATCCTGTACTAACCTTCTTGTCTCTGGAACACCTACGCTCATAACCCTAGTCATGGAATCAATCCATCTCATAGAGGGTCTTCCTCTCTTGCGCTGTCCCTCCACCTTCCCAAGCATGATGTCTCTCTCCATGGATTGGTCCTTCATGCAACATGTCCTAACATTGTCAGATGAAGCCTCAGAATCATTGCCTCCAAGGAGCACCTGGTTTCACCCACTCCAAGATGAACGTGTTTGTTCTCCTGGCAGTCCAGGGTCTATTCAATACTCTTCTCCAGCATTAAAGCTTGTCTTTCGAAAAAAAAATTAGAATATTTGTTTAATATCATTTTTAACATAAGAAGATCAAGGACTGCAGCCTTCAGTATGGGTTGAGGCTCAATATCAAGAAAACAAAGATTCTCACCACTGGGCCAATTGGCAGCATCAGGATGAACGGTGAAGAGATTGAGATTGTTAACAGCTTTAGTTTGCTTGGCTCCACAGCAACATTCTTGACACCAGCAGCTAGGAAATTAAAAGATGTATTATATTGGGCAATGGGGAAGTCTGCTGTTAGAGACCTCTCTAAAGTACTGAAGAACAATGGTGTCACTCTGGAGACTAAGGTGCACCTGATACAGGCAATGGTCTTTGCTATGTGTCAGAGAGCTGGATAGTGACTAGGGAGGATAAAAGGAGAATTGATGCCTCTGAGCTGTGGTGTTGGAGAAGAGTATTGAATATACCATGGACTGCTAAGAAAATGAACAGGTTTGTCCTGGAGAGGGTGAAACTCTGTGAAGGCAAGGATTCTGAAGCTTCATCTGACATACTTTTGACATGTTGCAAGAAGGGACCAGTCCTTGGAGAAGGATGTCATACTTGGGAGGGTGGAGGGACAGCGCAGGAGAGGAAGACCCTCCATGAGGTAGATTGATTCAGTGACTGGGGTAATCGGGATAGGTGTGTCTGAGACAGTGAGATTGGCACAGGATGGAGCAGGGTTGAGGGCTATTGTGCATAGGGTCACTATTAGCAGCAACAACAATAACAATGAAGTTTTTAAAATTTAGATAGTTTGAGAGGTTAATGTGTTAGTAAATAGTGTTAATCATACATATGAAACTATGATATTGTTACTGTTGTTATGTGCCTTCAAGTTACCTGAGACTCATGTCGACTATGAAAAGTAGCTCTGAACCCTGCTCTATCCTGAGACAGTCTTACTGTCTCTGACACATCTGCCTCTGTTACCCTAGTCACTGTGTCAATCCATCTCATCTTGGATCTTCCTTTCTTGCATCTGACAAGCATTATGTCCTTTTCAAGGGCTGGTCCCTCCTGGCAATGTGTCCAAAGTATGTGAGATAAATCTTCAAAATCCATGCCTCCAAGGAGCACCCTGGCTTCACCTGTCTAGGACATACCTGTATGTTTTCTTGGAAGTCCATGTCATATTCAAACCATGATTATACATTTAAATATAAAGCTGTCATTATTATTCAACTCAGTTTATTGCTTTTAAGTTAGAACTAACTTCGAGTTGATTCTCCAGGGAACCTCTGGCAGATGTGAACTGCCAGAGAGGTGTTGCCTTTTAGCAAAAACCAGTTTTTAATTATTAAAAACAATATAATTATATTATTGATTATATAAGTACATACACAATAAGGATAAGCTAAAATAATCTGTGATTTACTTCTGTAAGTGTAAACATTTCAGAATTCATTTATCCAATGCTTTATGTATGTACATGTTTGGGTAGTTGTGGAGGTGAGTAAGTAGCTTTATAGAACGAAGTAGAAGCAAAGAATAATGTCCTAACTTCATTCCATGCTTTCAAATTTTGTTTAATTTTTACAAGCTATCTAAATTAGCCGTGTGGGTGTTACATATCCTTCATGTGATAAAGCTAAACAAAATATAATAATGACAGTTTTTCTGGTAAGTCTAACCTCCAAGAGATGATATTGTTGACAGTTACTTCCCCCTACTCTTCAAATATCCTTTATCATGATCACACCACTAACCACACTACTCAGGACAGATCATCCTCAACAGGATTAGAGCAATGCTTTTGGGTCTTTTTACTTCAGTTTTTCAAAACTTTTTCCAATAAATTTTTTAGTCAAAAGTCACAGTGAGATTGTTATAACACAAGTCAAATTTATTTCTTTCCTTTGCCCAAAGCCCTTCCCTAGTTTGTTATTGATTTCAGTGTAAAAGTGAAATTCTTCCAGGATCTTGCAAGATCTAACATGAAACAGCTCCTAATTATCTTTCTACTTCATCTCCTATAAACCCTGCTCACACTCTCTCTTCACACTGATGTCAGTCAGAACAGTTAGATTCTATTAGGGTAAAAAAGCAGTATGAAAGAATAAATTAGGTTCAACTATGATAAAAAGTAATGTCAAAATCACCATATGAAAATGCTCTTGTTGTTATGTACCACTGCATTGGAACTAATCAATAGCTGACGTTTCAGTAGATTTCAGATGCAGGAAATTGCACCTATTCCCCCCCGCCCCCCAATCTCTCTCCTGTAAGCACATCCAGGAATGCATCTACTTGTTGAAAAATGTCAGCTGGTATCCCATTGATTCCTGGGGCCTTATTTTTTTGCCAATACCTACAGTGCAGCTTGAATATCTTCCCTTATCACTGCTGGCTCTTAATCATACGGTAATCCCTGAAGTATTTCAGTGTCAACAAGTTCTTTTTGGTACAGTGATTCTATGTATTCTTTCTCTCTCTTTTTAATGCTTCCTGGATCATTCAAAATTTTTCTCATAGTATGTCTCAGTGTAGAAACTCAAGGCTTGAATTTGTTTTTCAGTTCTTTCAACTTGAGAAATACCAAGCATGTTCTTCCGTTTTTATTCTTCAACTCTAGCTCTTGCACATTCAATTAATAGTTTACTTTGTGTTCTCCCCCTTGCTTGCTGGAGGTAAGGAAGGCTTGACACACTTGCTGCAGGGTATCAATGACTTCAACTTTTAATATGGTTTACATCTTAGCATCAAGAAAACAAAAATCCAAAAATCAAGGATGCAGCTTTCAATATGGATTATATCTAGCATTAAGAAGACAAAAATCCATACCACTGGGCCAGTAAACAACATCATGACAGAGGGAAAAAGAGTGAGAGTATCAGTGACTTCATCTTACTTGAACATCTTTTAACACCTTTTTATTTTTTTTAGTTTTTTAAGTGCTTTTTTTTTTAAATTTAGGTTGTTTATTTTTCATTTCAATGAACATCTACAGAGATTTTGGGATTCCATTCATTCATTGTTGCACCCTTCTCCC